ACACCTCTTTATTCTGCTTTCTTCTTCTTCTTTTAGGACCCACCCTATTCTCCTGATAATAATCTCTTTTAACAGTTTTCAGTGCTGTATTCTTAAATTGTTGCAACCCACCCTGAGCCCTCATGGTAAAGGGCGGGTAAGAAATCTGATAAATAATAATGAAATAGAAAAATACTCGTTACTAGTTGCCGCTCCTCTGTCCTAGTTGCTGACACACTTTCTCCCATTCCAAAGCCCTTGACCCCTTATGCTTTTAGCAGCCTCTGAAACATCTCATCAATTGCTTTCATTGTTGCCCTTCTTTCCCCATGTAGTCCATCCTTTCATTCATCCGATATTCAGTGTTTCTATCCTACCATTCCATCCTTCTTTCAGCCCACCCTATAGGTATAGACTATATAGTATTCACCAAAACCATCAGAATCTTTCTTTTTCTTTCTTTCTTTCTCTTTCTTTCTTTCTTTCTTTCTCTCTCTCTCTCTCTCTCTCTCTCTTATCCCCCAAATTCAGCTGGTCTGCCCATCCATCCATATCCATCCACGTTATGCAGCATCTTTTATTCCTCTCATCCTTCCTTCCTTTCTTTTCCTCCACTCTGCCTGTCTATCTCGCCACTCATCCCAGTGTCCACCTCTCTCCTTTCTCTCTCTCCTTTCCTCCTTCTAGCCTTTCTCCCCATGGTTATCCCCCCTTCCCTCCCGCCTTCTCTTCCTTTGTCTCTCTCTCTCTCTCTCTTTTCTCTCTCAAGTGTTTTCAATTTTATTCTGAGTGGAATTAACTACCCCTGATGTCAAATTGCCGCCGAAATCGATAATAATATCTTTACAAAAGAGGATATTCTTCTCTCTCGGAACGGCCCCTGAAAAATGGAAAATTTAGTCGAAATTGATTCATTACTTGACACTTTATAGGACGGGCCTGCTATTGATCGGAGCCTGTCATGTCCTATCTGCCTTAATCGAAGTTGAAGTCCAGTGTCGATGGTGGGTATTTTTCATAATTCCAGGAGACCAGACAGATACAAAAACACACACACGGACTCCGTTCCCCACCACCCTCTGCAGTCTCCCCGGGTGGAAAGGGGGGGCGAGATCTTCCTGAACCCCCCACCCCAAACAGATCGCCCTGGAGAAGGAAAGATCTTTCTTGAAACACACAAACCATCCCCTGCACACTCGCAAATCAGGGAACTTCAGCACAATAACCCAGATCCAAAATGAATCGTGTGTGTGTGTGTGTGTTGCTTCTCACACACACATCCAACCTTCTCCACCGCCCCAGTTCAGCTGTTATGTGTGTGTGTGCGTGTGTGTGTGTGTGTGTGTGTGTGTGTGAGAGAGAGAGAGAGAGAGAGAGAGAGAGAGAGAGAGAGAAGGCTCTTTTTGTTTATTAAGGCTGTTTGTGGCTTGGTAAAGAAAACCTATGAATCAGTCAGCATTCTCTCTCTCTCTCTCTCTCTCTCTCTGTGTGTGTGTGTAAACCCTAACTGCGTGTGTGTAGCTACACAACACACACCAACAGGGGTAGAACTTATGCAGTCTTCCCTATCCACCTGCCCTCAAAACATTTTCAGCCTGGCTCCCTCCTACGCACACACACACTCGCGATCTTCCATTCACACGTCCTTTGCCCCCGCACATACTTATTGCCTCCCGTACTGCCCCCGTCTCTTACACATACGCGCGCGCGCGCGCAGTTTCCCTCACACAATACTTTCTCAGCTGCGCACCGGTCGCCACCCTCCTGCCCTTTCCTCTGGCAGGCGCCACAGCTTGGGCTTCTTGCACGCGCAGCGCGGCCCTTCGAGAGGCCTTTCCCCCTCACTCCACCAGCCCGGCTGGCTTCAGTATCTTCCCCCAACACGCTCCTTTCCCCTCAGGACGCCTTCTTCACTCTCTTTCCTATTTACACACGCGCATATCTTCCCCCTCTCACACGCGCACCCATATATAGGTGCGCCTCTGGCACACTTCTAACACACTCCTCTCAAAGGGACGTTCCTCCCTGGCACACACACACTCCCTCTGACGGGGTTTTTCCCTCATACATAACCTCTCTAACAGTTCCCCCCCCCTCTCTCTTACACACTCACACATGTCCTCTGATGCGCGTGCGCGCGAACACACACACACGTGTCCTGTCACCGACGAATTTTCCTCACACGGCGTCCTCTCTGACGCCATAGCTGTCAACTTTTCCCTTTTCTTGAGAGGAATCCTATTCGGAATAAGGGCATTTTCCTTAAAAAAAAGGGGGGGGGGGAAACGTTGACAGCTATGTACCACACACGCCTCTTAACAACAGTCCCTATGCTTTCTCCGACGCGCATCGCCACAAAACTCTCTCACACTAGCGCGGCTGGCGCTCGCGCATCCGTTCGTGTTTCTCTCACACGGCGGCGTGCCCTCAGACGTTAACGCACGCCTCTCTCTCTCACACACACACGAACATTGCTCCACAGCCACGTCCCTTTCTCTGGCGCGGACCCTTTTCCCGCGCAATTTCCCTCTCACACGCGCGGCCCCCTCCCAGCCGCCACCCCCTCCTTCCTCCCTCTCCCTCGCGCGCAGACTCACTTTCCCGCGCTCGCGCCTGCCCACGCGCTCTGAGGGCTTAACTAGACTTTAATTGGACTTTTCTCGACTTTCTTTTCCCGCCACCACCTTCCTTCCTTCCTTCCTTCCTTTCCTTCTATGGTCCCCTCACGGCTCCTTCCTCACCCAAAGACTCGAGTCTTCTGTCTATGGGACTGTTACTCTTTTGTTTCTCCTACACCCTCTCTATCCCCTGCGAAGGATTTTTTTCTTTCTTCTTCTTCTTCTTTCTTCTCTCCTCTCCCAACTCCCCCCCTCTCTCACACACACATTTGACGCTTGCTTTGCTATCTTGGAAAGCTTTTGCACATAAATTTCCCCTCAGCCTTCCTCCCTTAGATTCCCACCAATTTAGCCAAGCCCAGGTCTTTAAAAAAAGGAAAGGGTGTGTGTGTGTGTTTGTGTGTGTGTGTATATATATATATATATAGGCGCACAGCGCGAGAGAAAATACCTTGGGTGCAGTTGGCAGTTTCTCCAGCACCCTCTGGAGTGGGAAAGCGGTCGATATTTAATTGTTATTGCAAGCAGGGAGTGCAAAAAAAAAAAAAAGAGAGAGAAGGGGGGAAAAAAGGAGAGAGAGAACCTACTACTCTGGACTATTTGTATTGTGAGAGTGTGTATTGCTGCTTGTTGGTGCTGAGGTGGGACGTGTGCCACAACGTGCGCGCGTGTACACACACACACACACACACACACACAGCCTCACTGAGGGAACCTTCCCAGTTTAAAAGAGGGAGGTTAAATATATTGGGTCTTGGTGTCCAAGAGACACTTGGAAAGAGCTTCCTGCACATACGCCGTGGAGGCAAGCAGAGGGACTGGGCCAAATTCTCCATCCTAACTTCTGCAGCAGCGCTGCCCCAGAGGTCAATCCCATTGAGCTCCATGGGGCTTTTGCTCCCTGGTTAGGTGGGCCTAGGTTTGCAGACACGTGCTCCATTTCCTGAAGAAGTCATCCCTATTGAACCCAGTGGGACTTCCGAGTAAACAGGCATGGGATTGGGCTCCTAAAGGAGAGAGAGGGGGGGAGGCTTCATTTCTTAAAGAAAAGAAAAGAAAAGACACAGAGAGTGTGGGGTTGAAATCTGACTCAAAGCCAAGCCAGGAAGGCCTGCTTCTTAAGAAACAAGCTGTGGTTCAGGGTGGGGGGGGAGGCACTCTGCACATGCCCAGGAGCACTTTTGTGCAGCATCGCTTCAGGAAAAGCTTAGGTATTAAATACAGATGTCAGGCTTCAGCTCTGCTACCATTTGGGAACTTTCTGTCTCCAAGGTCTTTGGTGAATCGGTGTCACTGACAGTGCTGTGTTTAAATATCGTGTGTGTGTGTGTGAAAGAGAGAGAGAGAGGCTTGTGCCATTTCTTGATGGAAACAGAGGACCCCTCAACCACCCCCCAGCTGCCCAATTCTGGGGGGTGTGAGGAAGTGCCGAGGCCTGGGGGGGGGGAGGGCTAAAACGCCTACAAAAGGCTACACAAATCTGCCTGTGTCTCAAGTGGGACTTTTCTAACACAACTCCCCTCTGGAGGAAGGGGCGCATGCTCAGGTCCCTAAAGCCATCCATCAAAATTTGAGGGGAAAAGGAGGAGAGGGAGAGGGGGGTCAGAATTGGAAAGGGGGGGTTGATACACACACACACACACGCACGCACACAAATCCCATTTTCTGCAAACAGGTTGGTGGCTCCCAGCCCCTCTCTCTGTCTAAATGAAATCAGTCATTTTCATCAAGTGCCCGGCCAAATATTATCCACAGTCCATTCAGAAGGATCGAATCTTATTTAGAGTCGCGATTCGACATCTGTTTTCAAATTTGATCAGCTATGAACTTTATTTTCCGAGTTTGAGGAAAATTATATTCCATCGATCCGAAGCACTGGCGTAGCCTACATATATTTTCCCCCTCGCTTCTGCCTCGGCTCTCTCTCTCCCTCCCCTGCTATCGACGGGGAAAGACGCGTTTGTAAGAGACACACCAGCAGCACCAGCAGCAGCAGCAGCAGCAGCAACACACCACCAGCGAGACACTTCGCAGTTTCCCCGATCGCACAGCCACCTTCCCTCTCGCCCGCCTGCTCCCTTCTTTCCTTCCCTCGGCCACCCTCCATTTCTCCTTTCCTCCTTCCTCCCTTCTCCCGACACACCTCGCCACTTTCTGATTCATCCCTTGGCTTCCTCTGCCTCTCAGTCACACACACAGAGGCTTCACCTCCTCCTGTCTCTTCAATTCCTTCTCTTCATCCCACATCCCACGCTCTCTTTCTCTCTCGCTCTCTCTTTCCCCTCTTTTCTTTTCCTTGTCTCGTCTCTCCTCTCCCTGCCAGGCTCCTTCCCTTCTTCCAAAAGGCGATCTTCTTCCCTTTCCTCTTCTCTCTCTCTCTCTCCTTCCTTCCTTCCTTCCTTCCTTCCTTCCTTCCTCTACTTTTGTCTCTTCCCCCCAACCCCCCTCCAAAACTCTTGATTCACCCTCTCCAGAAAAAGCTAACTATTCTGATTTCATTTTTCAAGAAGCAAACCTCCCCCCACCCCGGGCAAAATAATAATAATACCCCAAACCCCTCACCACCTCAATTCCCCGGCGCGCCCCCTCCCAGCCAAGCCAACCTCCCAAAGAACTTCAACTTGGAGACTGCCTGAATGGTGACGGGAGAGAACAGTGAGTAACAAATTCTTGGGAAAGTTTCTTGGGAAAGTGGTCTGAGGAGAGCGGGGGAAGTTAAGCCATTGCGGGTGCTTCTATGGGGAGTTGGGAGCGGGGGGGGGGCGGCGGCTCTGATATGGCAGGGAGTTATGCTCCCACTTCTAAAAGTGGAGGAAATGAGGTCTGTGATATCTGTCCATCTATCCATCTCTCCTTCTTCCCTTCCTTTCTTCTTTCTTTCTTCCTTCCTTCCTTCCCTACATACACACCCTCCACCCAATCATTCCTCTCCCAACTCGTTTTTCCTTCTCACACCCTTTCGTGCTCCGACCCTCCCCTCCTTCTTGCTTCTTCTCTCATCCCTTCTTCCTCTCTCTCTCTCTCTCTCCTTTCCTCTCCCCTCCCATCTCTCTCTCTCTCTCTCTCTCTCCCTGTCCTTTCCCATTCTCCTCTCGCTCACTCACCCTCCCCTTTTCCCCTCTCCACCCTCCCCTCCTCGCTCCCCAGCTAACTGGAAGCCGGTTTCCGTTTAGATTAAGGCAGGGAACCTAATTCCAGGGCAGGGGATCGAAATTTCTGGCAACAAAGGGAAATAGCGTATTGATCAGAGGCTCCGGAGATTAAGAGACAAGTGTGTGTATCCATCAGCGCTAAACTGCCTCCCTGCGCCTGAGAGCCGGCCGGGCTGCGGACGCGCCTGGCATGGCAAACACGCGCGCCCCTCTGGGAGGGCAGGAGCGGGAGCCTCGGGGCAGCTGGGCCGACCGGGGTGGGGTGGGGGGTTGGCGGAGGATGGGGGAGAAGGGCTGGCCGAACCTCCCTCTCCCCACCCCGGGGGACATGGAAGAGGGCAGGAGATCAGGGAGGAAGACCCCCAAAGGGGATCTTTGGAAAGAGGAGACCGTGCAGCCCGTGCAATGTAGTGGTTAAGAGACTGAGCTGTGAGCCGCCCAGGTCCCCCATTGCAATTCCACCTCAGCCTCGAAGTCAATGAATGGCCTTAGGCAAACCGTTCTTGCTGAAACTCAACCCCCCAACACATCCCTCTCTCTCACACACACACCAAAATTCTGCAGATTGGGTGATAATAACAGGGAACTGCGTTCCCCAGGCGTTGGAAACCAGCAAGTCCCAGGTGCAAATTTCACCACTGCCGTGTGAGCACTTAAGTGGCCAGGGGTAAGTCGCTCATTCTTAGCCTCCACCCCCGCCATCCAAGGTAATAAACACTGAACTACCTTACAGGGCCGTTGTGAAGATCACTGAGGTAAGGTATGCGAAACACTTTAAGCGCCCTAACGGGGCAATCGTATTCCAGGAGAAAGCCCTATTGAATTCAGTGGGATTTACTCCCAGGTAAGTGCGTCAGCATAAGTTTGCAGCCTAAGGCTGCAATCGTGTGCTTACACTTCTTTGGGAGCAAGTCCCTTTGAGTGTAGAGGCGCTTCCTTCTGAGTAAACATGCAGAGACTTGCGCTGCAAGCGCCCTGTATAAATGCTAAGTAGTATTTGGGGGTTGTGTGTGTTCTGGAATTTGGAACTCGGAGTTCCAAGAGCGAAACAATACTTTTGCTCAAGATTATTGGTAGTAGTAGTAGTACAGTAGTAGTAGTAATCGTCGTCTTATGTAAAAGGTGGAACAGTAGAACTCCATCCTTTGGAGCAGAGGTTGCATCTGAAGATCTCAGGAGTGAAAGCTCTTCCTCTCCCTTCCCCATGGATCCAAGAGTGTGGCTGTGGGGCATAGGCCCGCGAAACTCCATCTATGCATATTATTGGGCTGTGCGCAGGGTGAAACCAGAGGCGTATGGAACTGGAGGGAGTTCAGGGACCCGGGCATTTGGGGAAGTGGTGCCCCGGAAATGCAGAGAGGAGCAGCTGGGCTGGTGGGAGAGGGGGATCACTGAGATCACACCGAAGTTTCTGGGGCCATCACGACCCCACTTGCCTTTCAGCCACTAGTTCCTTAAGCCTGACCTATAAATTGCCAAGTCTGGCTCCCGCCAACACCGCAAATCATGGGTGGCTCACCTTCAGCTGTGATTATTTTTTCCCCTACCAATAATGTCATGACGTTGGCTGGCAGGGTGGTATGAGAAGGAGGCGGCCACCTGAGGTTCAGGAGAAATGCTTCCCCACCTTTCACATTATGAAGCATGTGTGATGTGGCTTCCACAAATACTATCCGCCTTCATCCCCTCCAAGCAAGCGATCGTTGGCTGAATGTGGAGGACTTGAGTTTAACTTGGCGAAACTTCTTCCATCTCGAGCTTGCGCGTTAAGCAAATACGCATCAGAAGAAAAGGAGTTCAGTAGGTTAGGCGTCTTGAACCCGGGACCTCTCGTTTTAGAAATTGAACACTGGCTGAGGAGAAGCGAATTTCCAGTGCTTGGCGGGGGTGGTGGTGCTTGAGTCAAGCGCTGGGGGGGGGGGAGACCCCGAACTTATTTCTCCCCCACCAATGGAGCTGACCCTTCTTGAAATGTGCGCTTGCGTGTGAGTGTGTAACGGGAAATATCTCTTAGGGAAGGTTAGATGTAGCGAGATATGTGGCACAGTTTCTGAATAGCAATAGCAGAAAATCTACATCACGCAATATGGGACAGTGAGCGAGAGGTCTCCGTCCCAAAGGGCTTACAATCTAGGGCTACAAATTCTAAAGCACACTAGCTTGAAATCAGCAGGGTTTTACTTCCGAGTAAACACAAAATAGCATTCCTCTGCTCGCAGGACCCTGGGGGGGGGTGCGGCGGCGGGGAACCGTTCGGGCAAACATGGGGATGAATATAAGGGCTGCGGTGGCTCACACGTACACGTGTGCACCCCTCAAAGTGTGGATATCTGCACCCTCTTCTTACACGGCCAGATCCACCCGCCAGTTAAACCGAATGGATTGGATTTGGCGCCGGACAATCCTCACTGAAATGACTGGAACCAAACTGTCTCGACTTCTTAGCGGCGTGGTGAGTGGATCACCAGATCGCAGAATGCTGAGGTAGTGAAATACTCGTGGTTTTAGACACGAAGAGAGGATTTTGCGAATCAGCTTAGACTCCTACCTCTCTATCTGTCTCTCCTTTCACTCAGGCACACCACCCCCTTGAATTAATTCTATGCAAGCCCCCACCCCCCTCAATCCTTCTCATTCAGGGCTAAAGCTATAATTGTTGTCTAAAGTTCTGCTACCTTCCACCGAATGTGAGTTAATCATTCCACTAGTCCTCACGCGTTTTGCCATCAGGTTCCATGCCTATTCTAACTGAGAGGGGAGAAAGAAGGGAGACATAGAACCAGCGTTCAATGCCACTCCTGCAAACGCTGGTGGGCAGACGGTAATTCAGGTTTTTTTCCATTGCCTTTGATACAACCTAGCTCCTTTTAAAAACCCCGGGGAAAGGTCTGTAAGCCATTCGTTATGCAGACTATACATGCAATATACCCAAAGTGCTTAAATTATCTCTGGAGGGAAAAGAAAGCTGTATTGTTAATTGGTGGGCTTGTCAGGAAGATATCTATCTCCTTGTCCACACGTTACAGTTAGCGTTGCCCTAGAAAGGCTAGCGTGTCAGACGGAGACCTGGCTTCAGTGCAGATTGGTTTTTGGAAGAGAGCGGTGCCGAGGCTCCAGGAAGCCTGGAAGCCAAACTCTTTGACCCTCTAATAATGTTAAGGCATCAAAGGCACCTAAAGAGGCCTTCTCCTTGGCTGGCTGGCTGGCTGGCTGGCCGCCCATCAGTTTTGGAATAATCATCCCTGGGAGACTCACCAAAGCCAGAGCCCTCTTAGAAGTGCAGCAGAATCCAGTGAGTGGCAGTAGGCTGACCCACTTCAGGCAACAGGTGGTGTGGTGGGTTGCAAAAAAATTTTTGAAGGTGGTGGGGATGGAGGCATACCTCAGTCCAGCACAAGACAGAAAGGTCATAGCCTCAGCCTCTTTGTCTGTGCAAGTGCCCGAATAATTTTTTAAGCATTTATTTATGTTTCCAATTTTTTTTACCGGCTTTTCAGCTACCCCCACAAGGTTCCCAGAGTAGCTTACACAGAGCAGTAACATGACAGAAAAGTCTAAATCTAGGGGAGCAGCCAGAGGGGGGTGTACCGTCCCCCCACCCCACCCCACTCCCATCCACCTATGCATTCTTGAAGCGGTATAGCCCTCTCTCTTCCACACCTCAGGGCCATGCCACCTTATTCTTCTGCTGCTGCAGGTGCAGATCCAACCCTGTCTGTCCTGGAAAAGCGCTGTAATACATTTTGGTATTTAAAATGGCCGTTGAAGTGGCCATGGCTAGGGTAGGGTAACTGTTACCCACTAACTAATCCAGAATGCGGCAGCTAGACTGGTGACTGGGGGCAGCCGCCGAGACCATATAACACTGGTCCTGAAAGACCTACATTGGCTCCCAGTACATTTCCGAGCACAATTCAAAGTGTTGGTTGACCTTTAAATGCCATAAATGGCCTTGGCCCAGTGTATCTGAAGGAACATCACCACCCCCATTGTTCTGCCTGGACACTGAGGTCCAGCGCCGAGGGCCTTCTGGTGGTTCCCTCACTGCGAGAAGCAAAGCGACAGGGAACCAGACAGAGGGCCTTCTCAGTAGTGGCGCCCCCCCTGTGGAACGCCCTCCCACCAGATGTCAAAGAGATAAACAACTACCTGGCATTTAAAAGACATCTGAAGGGAAGTTTTTAATATGTGACATTTTAATGTATTTTTAATCTTTGTTGGAAGCCGCCCAGAGTGGCTGGGGAAGCCCAGCCAGATGGGCGGGGTACAAATAATAAATTATTATTAATAATACTTGAGCCTTTCGGATGTGGTGAATTAATCCGTTGATGTGCAGGGCGTGATTGTGGTTAATTGTGAGGGAAAGACTCTGAAGACATTGCGAGTAGCGTTTTCTTGCCTTTACTGAACTGCTTCCAGAGCTTAGGCCCAGAATTTGGGAATCAAGTTGAGCGCTGTCTCCTAGCTCAGCAATGGAGCCCTTGGGTGGCATTGAGCAGTGCA